TTAAAAATCCTTTCTTGAAATGATCCTTAAAATCGAAATTCTGCCTTTACAAACACTGCTCTTAATAATATTACCGTATATCTTAGAAATAAATAATTATAGAATCATTCGGACATATTCCAACACCCAATCAATTCATTATCTCTTAAATAACGTAAACACTTTCAACTTAACAAATTTCAATGTGCCGTAATGTCATGTTTTATTTAGAGTAAGAAAAAACATGAATACTTGTGAAGCAATATACTTAGACACAAATTACATGTAATATATGTATACCTGTTCTTTCATATAAAGCATATTTCTTTACTTTTTTGTTTTTTATAAATCTGAGTTTCCTCCAAGACTTTAAACACTATAAAATAAAGTCACTTAATAGTAAAACAAATAAATGTTTCTTGAGATCAAATTTAAACAAAGGAACACGTGTCATATAGCCCCGAGTACACCATTTGACAGGCCAAGACTTGTCAACTCTGCGGCAAAATCTCGCAAACTTTCATTATCCAAGAAACGTCACACAAAAAATTATAATCAATGTAATAATCCACACCATCTGTTTTATGTCATTATAATAAAAAATAATTAAGTTTTCTATATAATGAGCTCAGGTTTTAATGGCTCAAGAGAAAATTAATGTAAAAAACGAGTACCTCTCTCTCTCTCTCTCTCTCTCTCTCTCTCTCTCTCTCTCTCTCTCTCTCTGTCGTAAGTTCATTCCTTAACTCATAATAAGTGAACAAAAAAAGTGAATTCAAATCTCGTCATTACTATGTTCCCTATCTCTTCAATGTTCTCATCAAGTTAGTTCATCGGTGAGAGTTCAATTCTTCTATCCATTCTTCAACTCTCAAACATATTTCATCATCCATTCTATCGACCTAACCAACAGTCATATTCCATCCAATCACTAACCTCCAATTATAAATCTTCAATCATTTCCTTATTATAAATGGTTAATATAATCCAACCAAATCTTATTCTTTCATTCACATTTCTTGTTGTTAGGTTTGGTTATGTTAGGTTATGTTAGGTTATGTTAGGTTATGTTAGGTTATGTTAGGTTAGGTTTGGTTATGTTAGGTTATGTTTGGTTATGTTTGGTTATGTTAGGTTATGTTAGGTTATGTTTGGCTATGTTAGGTTATGTTAGGTTAGGTTTGGTTATGTTAGGTTATGTTTGGTTATGTTTGGTTATGTTAGGTTATGTTAGGTTAGGTTTGGTTATGTTTGGTTATGTTTGGTTATGTTTGGTTAGGTTTGGTTAGGTTAGGTTATGTTAGGTTATGTTTGGTTATGTTTGGTTAGGTTAGGTTATGTTAGGTTATGTTAGGTTATGTTAGGTTATGTTATGTTAGGTTATGTTTGGTTATGTTATGGTTATGTTTGGTTAGGTTTGGTTAGGTTAGGTTATGTTAGGTTATGTTTGGTTATGTTTGGTTAGGTTAGGTTATGTTAGGTTATGTTAGGTTATGTTAGGTTATGTTATGTTAGGTTATGTTTGGTTATGTTAGGTTATGTTTGGTTATGTTTGGTTATGTTAGGTTAGGTTATGTTTGGTTATGTTAGGTTATGTTTGCCATGTTAGGTTAGGCTTGGTTGCGTTAGTTAGGTTAGGTTAGGTTATGTTTGGTTATGTTAGGTTATGTTTGGTTATGTTAGGTTATGTTAGGTTATGTTTGGTTATGTTAGGTTATGTTAGGTTATGTTAGGTTATGTTAGGTTAGGTTGGGTTATGTTAGGTTATGTTAGGTTATGTTAGGTTATGTTAGGTTATGTTAGGTTATGTTAGGTCTGTCACAACACCAATCCTGACATATCTCATAACCTGGACCGTTCGGCTACTGACTAGTCCGCCAAACCTCATCTACCTTTTCTCCTCTCCCTCGTCCTCTTCCTCCCACTGTACTAACATCACCCTCAATCAAACTATAACCCAATAAACCCTTACGCTGTCCTGACCATTTCAACCAAATTACAATAAATGGGAAAATATAAAATTATCTATATATTCCGATATATTATATACTGATATACGCTTGTGAATTCTAGATACGATAAGAGATATTACTTATAAAACTGAATAATTGTCTTGGTTATCATTGGTATATGCTTCCTGTCTGTCTGTCTCTGTCTGTCTGTCTGTCTCTCTGTCTGTCTGTCTGTCTCTCTGTCTGTCTGTCTGTCTCTCTGTCTGTCTCTCTCAATAACTAGAACAATTTAAATAAGTTCAGATTTATGTGTTCAAGTGTTCAAAACCGCAGATGATCCTTGGAGAGAAAGAGAGAGATCTCACTCCACTACACATTATTGGTTATTATGCAAGGTGTGGTGGCTGGCCCTACGTGACGTAACGCCTTCCCTCTCCCACTCTCACTCTTAGTTGACACTGATAGGTTAGGAATATACCTGTAATGTTTATCTTTTTAGCGAAGACAAGAGGATATATAACAGTAAATTGTGGTATTTATTAAAAATGGACATATGCTGTGTAACCTAACATAATCCCAGCTTCCCACAATCACGGAACATAACAAATACCTGTTACCCTATTACACACAGCTTAATTTTCGACTGTAATATCATTGTTTTATTAAATTAGTCGAAGCTTGGATTATATAAAACATTAGTGGTTGTTGTATCGTAAGGGATGATATTATCAAGCTAGATTATGACCTGCTGGGTTCGAATCCCGGTAAGAGGTTGTTCCTGTATCACTGATTTACGCAGAAAAAATGCATATAAGGATTGAACTTCCCATATTTCTCTTCTATTTAACCCTATGCTCTCCTAAATCCACAAATCCCACAAACAAACTGGTGAGATGAATTGTTTTATACCTGCAAGAGAAAATTTATACCGGTATTGTATTCTAGAGACAAATGAGAGAAATTTACCAGATCATGGACACGCGGAAACTGAGCAATTTATGATTCCTTTGTAACTATAACTTACTTCATAACTACTAGATGGTTACTGTATCTTCTCTCTAATGATTACAGAAAATACAAATAGATATTAAACCACTAAATGACAAGGGAAACATATACTGTACTACCATTACAAGTGAAATACAGTATTAGGCCTGACACACCGCTTAGGCAGAGAAAAATAACTTTGGAATACCAGTCCCATGACCGCTTGCATTCCAGAACATCGACCCCAAAAATGTTATCAGTGAGTGTCAGGGAGGAGAGTGTGTTAAGCTGGCCCAAAGCTTCACCTCCTCACGATCGTACTGTATATAGTTTCTGTGTAAATATCTCCGTAAAACTCTGGTAAGAAATTTATATCCCTAAACAATATGAAATAAAACCCTATATATATATATATATATATATATATATATATATATATATATATATATATATATATATATATATATATATATATATATATATCTTTGAAATTTTTATAACAGGGTGACCTTATTTGTAAGCTCTTGTCCATGTAATCCAGTTGCCTCTGAAGATGTCTTGAATAAAGACGAAAGTTAGGTGCTCCGTTGTTTCCCTTTCCTGTGTGATATCAAGATTTATCTTATCCACGGTAAATAAGGATAATCACTGATAAAGCTTTAAAATGCTGATGTCTTAGTATGGAAAGTGTTCTTAAATTGTCCCTTAACACCAACATCGGTAAGGAAACAGAAAAGTTGTCATTTACTTTAGATGTTCGATCGTTTTCTTCATTTTTCAATATATTAATTAGGCCACGTTTTTCCTTAATGTATAAATTTATCGTAACCCTTTTATCCTTTTCAATCCTAAACCTTCCGCTTGCTACATACATCGATATTTGTATATTTATGAAGCATAATCGCCATACAAATTCAAACTGTCTCAGTATAGGTATACAAATAATGCAAACAGTAAGTCAACCAGCCATGGATAGTTCAAGACAGGCGATAAAAAAAAATTTCCAATGGGGTTCATAACCAGTTATTCAAACTTCTGTTGAACATGACCGTATGCGAAACGTCTATGTCTATCGGTAAGGCAGCCAAATGCGCATGCGTGGTGGGTAGACTATACAATGATAGTTAATTAAATGGCCTTTTATCTAACTAACCTAACCTAACCTCACTGCCCAAGAGGAAGGAAGCACCGCATACCTCATTTTGCACATGTGAAGTTCTCTCCTGCACCATCAACCACGCAATCCACCAATGAGGCTGCCTTACCTGCATCCAGTGTGTAATAATAATTAATAGCCCATTTGACTAAGGGTAGACAATATTCATTTAGTTTCCCTTTAACCTTCAAATTATGTTTTTTTTTTTAATGAAGAATAAGAAAACTCATTCACGAGTAACAATATTCTTGGAGTCTACCACTAGTTATGAGGTAAAACAAATATTTTTTGATGAAAGGACAAAAGTTAAATATGACATTAAATCACTGCTTGTGTAGTCAAATAAACATATTCAATATTTACTGAAACACAAATTCATATCATTAATTCATCCTTCAGCCAAGAGTGGTGATGAGAATTATGATTGTAAGCAATTTTCATCCTTGTCAGTTTCGACCATAATCTAAAAAAATATAGAAAATCAATATACAACCGATAGATATCTTTCATTAACAAGCACAGTATCTTAGTATCTTACATGCATATCAATTTGGATTTTGTGAGACATGATACTGAATTATTTCATCACTACCTATAACACAATTTAAACATCGCTAGTTAGGTTCCTTACCACTAGCAAGGTATTGTATTTTTTTACCCATTATGAATAAGATTATTTCTATGCCATAAATAATCACAAACAACTTTAATTTTAATAACAGTATACACCCTAATATATATTGTGATCAAATAAAAATTAATAAACTAAAAACAACTAATAATTTTATAGGATCCAAGACTATATAATGACATAGTATCCCAGAGTTTATAGGTTGAGATACCAAGTACCCAAGAGGCTATAACGATGCTCTTCTTGACTCCAGCTGTTGAGGGGAATGTTTCTCTCAACCATTTATAACCTGCATTGACAGACTGAAGTGTACGCCGCACAAACTCCCCTTAACAAGCTCTCTAACTCTATATAATACATCGCACAAGATGTTGGCATGTGACTATACCAACGTGCTCATAGCCTTCGTGATGATCATGCCGTTTGTGTATGAATTCAGTCATAGATTTAGGTTATATTTAAAATTTTTCCTCTATTATTCTATGGTGATGCTGTGTTCTGTACTGTGCATCCCCTTCATCATTTGGAGGCCAGGAGATGTTAGGAACACCTTGTGAGTATGGCTGTATTTTTCTTAAAACTATATTTTTAATTAATATCTCGTGATTATCCTAGTCATAGTATGGTTGAGGGGCGTGCCTGTATCCTGAGGAGTTATAGGAGGAGAATTGTTATTAGGATTTCCTCTAGATGTTTTAGTTTTACATTTAAATTTACAGTGCCTATTGTTGTGATGATAGATATAGTAATGAAGTAAAATATGTTGTTTAAATATAACAATTAGGAAACGCATAACCACTTCTTGAACTGTACTGACGTTTGATGGTGAAAATTACATGGTAGAGTCACTGGAAATGCATTGGTTATGTTATTAATAATAATTTCAGTTGAAGTAAGCTTTTAATGGGTAAATTATCTTACTTTTAACCATTGTACACTGGCACTGTGTCTATAGTTGCTGAACTAATGTGATCCGTTGATGATTTAAACCAATGAATTAATATCTGAATCTAAGAAACATTACAAATTTTGATGTAATTTGCTATTATCCTTTTTCGACAAAACTGGGAACAGACAACAACATGTTCTCTGAATTCATCATGAGTCATCACTTAACTTTTATCTTACTTTAGCAAAAATGAATCACTTAGTTTTGCCATATAGTCAACACTTACGACTTTTAAGTACTGTAGTTCTTGTTGCGGAAAGTATCGAGATATACTGGTATGTAAATATAAGTGTAGATATTTTATTATACTTACTATTAGAATATTAAGTTGGGCATAACCTGATATTCCTAGTTATTCAGACGAGGTAATAGAGTAAGTCCTTAAATGTGCTGCTCGAATGACTAGTAAGAAGGAAAACTTATTATTAGCGGGTGGTGAAATTCATATCTTATAAACTACGATTTGTTTAATGACCAAATTTAATAAGAAACTACTTTGAAATGAAATAATAAGTTTACCAAATACTGTCCACATAATTATAAGGTGCTACTAAATCACATAGTCTACAAAGATATCTTTAATCTAAGCTAACCTATTTGTTTTAACTAGTAGATTAGATCAGGTTAGATAAGTATGGTAGGTTAGTAGGTATGGTAGGTTAGTAGGTATGGTAGGTTAGGGTAGGGTAGGGTAGGGTAGGTTATGTTCAACTGTCTAAGGTTGAGTTGAATAATGTTCATCTCTCATATAACACCTATAAGAAGTTAACATATTTTTCAGATCTTGGAAAGTAACCCTCAGAAGAAGTATTTTGACTTTTTCAGATTTAATAACCTTTGTGTATATGAAATTGTATGTCAGTGATATATAACCCTGGTACTTTGTATATTTTATGAGTTTGTAACATCCTGTCTATTTTAGCAGCAGTTCTCAACATATTGCATCTTTCCATTTTATTACAGTACAGTGCCACCAAGATGAACACAAAACTATTTTTTCCAACGACTGTATTTTATGTGTAGCTGCAGTACATGCATTTTAGGACAGTATTATGTATTTTGTTACCCAATAATGAAAATTTTTAAAGACATTAAAATTTCAATGTTTCTGTTGAGAATAAGAAGTATTGCTAAATTAAAAAATATATATATTTATATACTTTTTTAAATCTTAATTATTATTTTTGAAACTATGCAACCCACCTAGACGACCTTCACATCCCACTGTTTAAGAAATACTTCATTACAGCATGTATATAGACAATACACCACAGTAGTAGCATCCACTGCCTGTCGTGCCTAGGGAACCTACTTTCACTTTCAGTTCTTATACCGGGTACTGTATTGAAAGTGAAATTCAATTTATTTAGACATCATGTTGTAAATGATTGAACTAAGTGGATAATTTGATATGAAACCTGGAGCATAAATGTTGCAACATGTTTACATTTTAACAGGATAGCCACATTACCACTGCGTATGCTGAACCCCTTGCTTGGCCTACACTGGGAGGTACGCGGCCAAGACCACATTGTGATAGATCGTCCGGCTATAGTGGTGGCTAACCATCAGAGCTCGGTTGATTTCTTAGGTATGGTATATTACCTTTTTTATGTACGTACGACTCATAGGACTTTATGTAGTGTTGTCCATCCATGACATTATCCTTTAAATATTTAATTTCATTTAAATAACTTAATATATTCCAGGAAGCATCCATAAATGGCATCCAGTACCATAATTATCAATATCTTCGCAATAGGTCTCCAAACAATAGTAACTATCTTGTCATGTAGCATATGTCCCATTAGCAAGGTTGCTTTCATTACTGGACTGCCATAATGTGAGTTTCGTCCACCTTGCCTGAGGCATCTGGGGGATAATTTATTATCCCTAGGTCATCCAGCTCTTTCTGTCACATCTGTTGTCCTTGTGCAAGAGATGACACTTTGAATACACAGTATTGTAGAAAGGAAGTGATGAGAATTAAATATCAATGTTGTTAACCAGTTTTTTGCTGTCTTGTCGATTACCCGGTGAGTGTTCCATTTTTGAAACAGTTTATAATTAGTTTTTATTTGAACAGGAATGGTGTACTTGTGGCCAATGTTTCACAAGATCACAGCCATTGCCAAGAAGGAATTATTTTATGCTATGCCATTTGGGATGACAGCTTGGCTATGTGGTACCAGGTTCATCGACCGCAGAAACCCAGACAAAGCCAAAGCCTCAATGAATGCAGCATTAGACTACGTAAAGGAAAAGAGTGTAAGTGGAGACTTATTATGTAATTGTATGTCTGTGCTCATAAGGTAAAATAATATTTTTTTAATTGTTTAAGATATAATTTCCCCTTTGATATGGGTATAAAAGTAACTGCATTGTTAGTGGTAGCACCCATTGCTTCATTCTGGGCATGATAATAGGTGACTGTTATGCATCAGCTCACCTCTTGATGGTAAAACTGGATTCAGGATTCACTTTTCCATGTTCATTTTCCTTCAGGTAAAGCTATGGGTGTTCCCAGAGGGTACACGAAGCATGGCAGATGAGATGCTCCCATTCAAAAAGGGTGCCTTTCATTTGGCAATTGAAGGCCAGTTACCAATTCTGCCTCTCGTGTATTCCTCCTATCGAGGTTTTCTCAATCATCCTTGCAAGATATTCAACCCAGGTAAGTAGCTATAATGTGCCACAATCATAAGGATAATTTGTAGCACAGTTTCTCCTGTTAAAATATGATTATGTGGGACATCATGTTCACTTTTCAGATTACTTTCAGGTTGTTCAAATTTGCCAAATGATTCTAGGAGCATTCATACATATGACCTCTTGCCTTACAGTTATTCCTTTCATATTCTTTTCATGACATATAACTTACAAAGTCACATTGAAATTTCCTCTGTCCAGTACCAAATACAGAAATGGTGATAAGGAGAGGTAGGATTAGTCATATCTTGGTAGACCTGACAACCATTTAGGTCTCTGCAACAAATCTTCGTCTTGTGGGGAGGGGTGGGGGTGATAGTTGTAATGGGAACAGATATCATTTTCACTCTTACAACCCTCCTTTGTGTGTTATGTAGCATATAGGATCATTTTCATTTATTGCTGCAGGTCACATCATTGTCACCTGCTTGCCTCCCATCTCTACAAAAGGAATGAAAAAGGAAGATATGCCAAGGTTAATGGAGGATGTGCGAGCTCAAATGATGGAGGTTTATACCAAAACATCCTCACAGGTAAGAAATTGTTTCCCATTACTTCAAAGAAAAAAAAACTTTGTAGTGAAAAAATAATTTGTTAGTACAGGTATCTCTTGCTATACGAATGGGTTAGGTTCTTGGAAAAAAATTGTTAAGTGAATTTTTTGTACTGTATAGCGAATAAAAGAACATGGGGAAAAATAGGGTTCAGTTCCCCAGTGACGACAAAGCCCATATATCATACCCCGAAAAGCAGTGATGATGATAATAGCTTACAATAATATTATAATTCTTATTTAATGGTGTCACCTATTAAGCCACTCACAGAGAAAATGTATACAGTAAAACTCTCTTAATCTGGGATCTTTTTATCCGGGTTTCTGCTATATCCGGATTGGCAAACCACCCTGGATTAACATGAAATAGTCTTGATTTACCTATGTGGTGGCCAAAATAAATAAACAATTTTGAATCACGTGAATCACTTAACTTATACGTAATTCATGTACATACTGGACATACAATATTTACCTCATATTTGGTGATGCAATTGATGGTTGATTTTTTCAAGTTATATTTCTCCATCAAAACCTTTGCAGATGCACCTTTCTCATGATCTTCCAGAACTACTAGGTTGTCCTTCAACCTAACTCCTTTCTGGCCCTCTTCTGACTTCCTTTTAAAGTTGTCTTGCCTTTAGAAGCCATGGTAATTAGTCCACAAAGTCACAAATAGTCCACAGGAGTTAAGAGATGCACACACAAGGGCTTTAACAGCATGACTGGCTTGTTAATAAAACTGCTGGGGTTCTTGTGCACCAGACACCAAACCGGATTGCCATCTGGATTTTTCATTTATTTATTTCTTGGTTAAACCAGACTTTCTGGATTAAATAAACCCCCTCTGGATATCGCCTTATCCGGAAATTTGCTTAACACGGATTGAATTTCCCCCAATCAGTCCGGATTAAGAGGGTTTTACTGTACCTTCATTATGACTGATATTATTGACCTGGTTTGCTTATGTTGCTTTATGATGTTGTCAGGTACATCATCCATGGCCCCTGGCAGAGGAAGTAAGGAAACACAGCTAAGCCAGGGAGACATCTCTTAGATAGAAGCACCTCAACACTCTTCTCACTCGTACCTGTAGTGAGTGTGCACCTAACCACACCAGACCTTGTGATGGTGGCTGTGCTGTTAATATTCCTGTGAATACTTCCTGGAAATGCCTAAACCCATTTAGTAAATGTGTAAAGAATCAGTTTATATATTGCTGGGATGGCTGTGGATGTTTTAGAATTTGAAATTTAATTTGAATACGTTCTGTACGACATACATGGTGAAACAGATGTATCGGCACAGATAGCATTATCAATAACTGAATTTGAAGTAGTGATAAATGTGCCTTCTCACTTACTAAGATGTTGTCCTAGGTTATTTTTCACTTTAATAACTTTTGAAATTTAGCAACATCTATATATTGTCACTTTTAGGCTAAATTTGTTTGCATGGCATCTCTCATATATGTAAGTTACCCAAAATATTTCAATTTTGCTCAGATTTTTTTTTTCAAACATTATTAAGAAATTTAATATAATGCATATAGACTCATATACTTTTGATTTCAAAACTTATTTCAAATGGCTATTGATAACATCGTGTCAGTTGATACATATCCTAGGGACAGCTACATGCTTCCAGCTTTAAACTTACACACTCCAGTAAGCTTGTAAATGTACTGTACAATATTATATTTTGTGTAAATTAAGGCCCTTCAATTCAAGCTTTTATTACTGACAGTAAATTTCACCAAAACATTGTCGTCAAAGAATGGTCTAGCCGGAGCATGACCAACTCACTCCCTTTCATTGTTCCAGGTTCTTTAAGTTGGCTTTAATTGGTGTATGACCTTTTGCCTGTAAAATGAGTTGGGTAGGAGTAATTCTTCTGTATTTGAAAGACTACTTATCATACCAGATGACTGGGGTCTCAGTGCCTCGCTGGTGTATGATACAGACACAAAGTTTGATTTTGTACTAACAACCTTTTCACATTAATCAGTATTTATATCACTCCATACACATTTTAATCTATTATATTAATAGTATTTATATCACTACTACAGAGGAAGTTACTGTGTTACAAACCTGTGCCGTTACTTCTACTTTACTTTATACAGTAATTCCCATACCCTTGTAGAAGTTATGTCATGAAATACCTCACGTAAGGCACAAGATGTTAAAGGCATTAACATGATATTCATGTAATTAAAAGAGTTATGTCACCAGATCCTGTACGGTCACAAAAAAAAAAGTCTGCTTTGAATGTCACTCCAACCCAGCAGTGGGCCTGAGGCTAGTGTGTGTCAGTTTACAGTATTGGTTTGTAAAATCTGGTAGGACAGTTAAGCGAGGAGGCGATCTGCTCACTAGTTGTTGGCATGTGCATGATAGTCATACTGTGAAGATAATTGAGGTAAGGTTGTCAGGTCAGTAAGAATATAAGTGTATAGTCAGTCAAGTATAGAATAAGGCAACCTATCCGGTAATACTGTAAAGGTAAGGATGACGAGGAGTGGTAGGATGGGGGTAGGGGAGGTCTCGTCCTTGAGTGAGAGCTGGGGGTACATGGTGCATTTGGAATAAAAGTTTTTACACTATTACCATATCTATTGCCCTACCCTATATTGGTTGCATCTGTAAATTTATATGGCTGAGAAGGGGTGGAGTCAGGCCACTTATGTTGGGTGTGTGGAGGTGGGGCTGGTTGTAGTGGTGATCACATGCATACAACATTGCAGTGTAGTAGATGTCTAGAATGTGATGTTCAATGTTTAGTGTGTGTGTGTGTGTTTTTTTTGTTTTTTTTTTTACTGTATGGTGGTGTCAAATTTGTGCTGTTCAGTGTTGATGAGAGCCTAGTGTGAGTTGATGAGTATGTAGTGAATTGTGGTGACTGTGTAGCATGTAGTGGTGTGTCTAGTGTGTGGTGTTGACTCTGGTGTAGTGATGAGTGTCTAGTGTGTGGTGGTGAGAGTCTGGTGGTGATAGGGTGTCTAATGTGTGGTGGTAAGCATGTATGACACCTTTCAAAGACTTGTAGCTTCACTGAACCTCTACAGCCTATAAGAGTGAGTGCAGCCAATTACTGTACTGTATAGATTTTATTATCCATTCTAGTTTTAATGGATAAAATATATACAGTATAAATATATAAAAGGAAGTACATAAAAAGGTTTATTGTATTGTACTTAATTTTTATATTTTTTTCCTTTCTTAATCATTCAACATCTTTTTCACATTCTAGTGTTTTGGATATTTAGACGGACGCATGATTAAAATCCAGAAAATTGCACAAGTAACTGGAAATATCTGGTTTAGAGAGACATTTACAAGTACAGTAATTGGAATTCTCTCTCAATCAGACTGACGGCTTTTCAATTAATCCAGCTAAGGGAGATTTCACAATACGAGTACGGTATGTCTCTCTATACATTGGATATGCGTTCTTGTAAAGCGTAACATTTAGTGAATACAAGTTTACTATAGACCCTAATGATATAAGTAGGGGGCTATGTTACTGAGGGACATTTCTGGTAAAATATTCTCACTAAAATATTAATTAATACATATACCTAAATTAAAAGATCATAAGTTCAAATTAATACAGTACAGTATTTAGATATAAATTATGCTGAAGATGGTTACCAAAACTGCACATAGATACTGACTAGGTTAGGAAGTGGTGAGTTATTTAGATGAAGCAGCAGGATTGCCTGTTTCTTTATACTGTACTGTAAAGATGGACTCTTAAAAGACTGGTGGATGGCTTTCATCTTCTTCAGTTTGTACAGCTCCTTGTAGTAGTTACTGTCATTGGTTAATAACTTCCTACACCCCTTTGGTATGAATACAGGGATTACTGTAGTGTTACCTTAGGGAAGCTCAGTACAGCTGTACACCACGTGTCTAAAATGAACCAAAAACTCCAGTTACCAATATGTATTGTATAGACTTATATGTAGATATCTTAATACCTGGCTAGTTTGTATTGAAATTGACATACATAAGCCCGGTGTTCCTGTAGTGGAGGGATTAGGTGGATGGTTCAAATTTCATAAGGCTCACATTCATGTCATTTTTTCCTCTTTTTCTTTCATTTCATCATCAACATATAGCAAGGTATATATGTCTGTACTTCAGTAATGTATATTTTTTTCTTTACTATAAATATCAAATCGTTATTATTTATTGAAGTTCTGTCTAATTCTTACCACTTGTCTTGGAGCCCCAAGCCTGACCACGGAAGGTTTACGGTGACGCGAATGGTTTAAAAAAAAAAAAGCCGCTTATTCTGCTCGTGAACGGTATCATCACAAATGGCAAGGTATGGGAATTACTGCATTAGTATTAAGAATAAACTATTTTAACCAAAGGTATTAATATTATGTTTTTGTTTTTGTATATGAATGGTATATGTAGATTAGAGACAATGTCTTAGTTCCCCGAGGACGAATTAAAGTGAGCCAATTGGTAGATAAATACAGTCCTCCTGCACAAGATTATGCCTGTGTACCCGTGTATAGAAGTTACTTCAAAAGTCAGGGAGGGTAATTATTAGTGTAGTTAAATATTGTTTCATAAGAGAGCTGGCAATTGGACCAAAGATAAGCTCATGGTAATCCTTAGAACGATGTCTTGTTAACCAACATTAATGTATTTCTATATTATAATGAATACATAAGCATCACAATACTGTTACATTGAACAAGAAGTTTGCTGTGCTCTAGTATGACTTCCTTCCTCTCCATGATAACATTCACAAATACTGTACTCATCTTGGTAACATGTGGATGATGGAGTGGTTGAGTATTATAGATCATTGTCAAAGTTACTGAAGCCCATGGGCTGTTTTCACATTGTTCCTTTCCATTGAATTCTCATATATTTGTTCCCTATCTCTTTCTCTCCATAAAAAACAAGTGTTGATTTATTTTTATGAATTGAAATAATTTTGTTTTGTAAACTTTTTTTGGTTTTATTGACTTTGTATTTATAAGATGTTTGTTTGATTGTTATTTTTAAAAAAGCAGTTTCTATGGGGAAGCCAAATATACCTAATTTGATATTTCATATCAATGTATGTGTAATGTATATAATTTATGTGTTATTAATTTCCCACTGTGTGGGAGGCTTTTTGATCTTTCCTCATTTAAAGTTTTTGCTTGTTTCTAGAAGAAGCATGGTAGATATTAATGCAGAAAAAATAAGGATATCTAGTGGACAGTGTAAAGTAAGTACTGTACGTACTTGTTCAGCTAAACGAGCCAATTTTTTTTTTATCAATTATAAGGAGATTCAAGCAGCAAGCCATCTTTAATTGAACAACTTCAGCTAACAAAATACTGTATTAACTGTATACTGTATACTGTATTAACTGTATACTGTATACTGTATTAACTTTCAATGGAAATATAACACTATTGGATACATAAGTAATAATTCAAATTCTTAACCCAAGGAACTTGGATTCAGCTCCAGAGGCAGGTAGAATTTGCTGTCTTGTTGACAGTTGATTTTGCTAAAGTTAAAGCTTTGTCATATTCTTAAAGATTATACTCTAAACCAGCCCTTCCTGCCAGAGAGGTGCCATCCCACATAAGTGGGAAACTCTTGAGTCCTGAGTTGAAGACCATAGTTTAACCCCTATACATCATAGACTAATTCATGAATTAGTGATGCTTCCCTTTCACAACTAAGCCCCAGAAGGGGTCCTGAGAAGTAGTAGTTCGCCACTGAAAGTAGGAAACATTAGGTTAGGATTGCCACATCAGACATTTGATTCAGTTACTTTTTTTTTTCCTAGATTACTATATAGGAGCTGGGTCTCCCATACCCCAGTTGGGGCACAGAGATCAGTGCTTTTACATTAATTTTAGCATTGTTGAAGTCTCAGACTGATCCACAGAATGTGTATGAAGTTTTCACCTTTGTACACATTGTTCAGTAATGGTTTTGTGAGTATTCTAACCAACTAACTGTGACCCAACCAGTGTTTCAGTTTAGGCAGCCCGACATCATTTGCACCTGGTCATCGTTGAGTAATTCATTCAATTTTATGAATCAACTTGTTATTTCTGGACCATCCTGGGGGTGTGGCTTGAGGTATTTTAAAAGAAATTAATCTGCTTATGTTGAAATGGCATTATAGGCATTGTTATTTAAGAAAAGAATGGGAGATGTGCTGTGTATATCGGGACTAAGTATGCTTGTATCTATCTACTCTAAGAGGCCAGCTCGCACGAATTTCTAAACCTCTGCTGGTGTGGTGCTCACAACTCATTGCTTCCTACATTAACTGGTGAACTATTGAGACTTGGTTATGATGGGGAAGCATAACTTAATTCATGGATTAATCTTGGTCTGTGGTGTCTAAGCATTGAACCCAGGTTTAAGGCCCAGGACTCACAGTTGTAATTTAGGTCACCCGGTAAGTTCTCGGCCATAATATGGGATATCAATATCAATCTTTCGTTTTTGCGATTTCCATTTCCAACTCTTCATCTGTTAGAAGACAAAGTTTGCAACATGCACAAATGCTTCCTGCAAGTTCTTTCCTTAAAGTTTTCTTCCTATTTAAAGCATGGCTGTTTAAATGGATACATACATGTGTCATATATGAGTTCTTTACATCAGGTTTAATGGAGAACCACATACCACAAGAAAGAGGGTGTGTTAGTGGCCAAGAGCATGATTAAATAAAGTCAAATGTTTTGCTAAAAAGTTTGTAATTTTAATTTTGATAATAAAAGGTAACATTTTTTAAACAAAAGATAACAGTAAAATAATTTCTCAATCTTGAATTAGATGTGAATGGATACAGAATTAAGCTATGTAGTATGTGGATATTGTCATTGGTCAACATTTTCTTTGCTTGTACACTATGTATACTCTGTACAGTACATGTGTTGAAAAACTATGCAACCCCATTTGTGATATGATGGCCCCCCATTATATAAGCAGAGATGTTTATTTCCATATAATTTTATCCTTTGTGTTATTTGCTGCTGAATTGGACAAGCTTGTGTTTTACTGCTGAATTTCATTACTTTATATAGTAAAGTATCTGTCAACTGAAAACTTTGGGACCAAGAGAGTTCCTGGATAATTATATAAAATTAATACCGCACTATCAGGAAAATGTGTCTAAGGAGAGCATTTAATAAACCATAGTACAGTACTTGTGTCAATTTAGTTGTTAGTTTTTGCTAATACCAGTACACTAACTTACTTCATTATTCTCTAAACTTACAATATTATAAGTTTACAAATAAGCTTTCAGTGCATCATTATTCTCCTACAGTCCCAGACCCAGCTGCCTGATTTACTCTTGTGTAGTGTGTAAGTTGAATAAAAGAACATTATTGTATATTTGTAAATTTCATATCTAGAATGGTTAAATCTTTTGTAAAAGATTGTTTCTCAAAGTAAATTTTTGCTTGACAGATACTTTGTTGTACTAAGGGCATCAGTCTGCAGTCTCTTCTGTTACTGTATTAATTTTTTAATGGCTGGATATTTTCAATAATTAATATTTTTATTTACTTTCTTATGCTTCACCTTATGAATCAATGGCATTGTATACTGCATATATTTTTTTTCCTTTAATGATTGTACTGTAGATTTTGTGTTTGGTGATGTAGAGTGCTCATCTGTTCTTTGTAACAAAGCCTGTCTGGTCAAGTAAGAATTCATTGGTGAAGTTCTGTCAAAACATCTACAGTACTGTACTCTTCCAGCTATAACAGGCTCACAGTTCTTTATAGATGAAGGTTCTCCCGCAACAATCACCAAGTCATGGACTCTGTGTATAGGTACAGGTCCTTGCTAACATTCACTTCTGATTCCAATCAGAAAATTGGGCCACTGGGAGACTGTCCTCACTTCATTGCTTGCCTTTGGACTAGCCTCTTGTTATCTCCATTAACCTTTCGACCCCGGGTGTCGTAAGACCCTCCGAACCCTCCCACTCGGGCATACAAGTATTTCGGTAAAAAACTATTAAATAAAAAATCCATTGTCACCTTATAAATGGGTAAATCAATATAAGAAAAGTACCACAATAATGTACTTACCTTCAAATTTCATTGTAGAATGGTTAGAGAGCGTTGATGAGCAGTGTGGAGTGATGAAAGATGTCCTATTTGAAGCTACTGCACACAGCCCACAGTGAGCAGGAAGTGAATTTGACACACACTTACAACACACAGTTCTTACTTGAAGGCATTTTTATATCATATAGCTATTACAAAACAAAATATTTCTATTTTCCTCAAAAGAACTATAAAATACCGAACATTAGGAATATTCTTGGCAGCTTTAAACTTCTCACTTTTCTTATCGCTATTTTTAAATATATACACTATGTATTTATATTTACTTCTACTGAATTTATAACTTCTTGATCGTGTGGAAGTCTTTGCAACACGAAACGCACAAAACAACTCCACATCTTGCACCAAGTCGCTATATCTTCGTGCCGTGGTTCACGATGGCTGGCAGGGTGGGAAGGGGGAGGGAGTGCCAGTTTGTAGGCCTATCACTGTCCTCACCACCAAAACAAACTCGACATCATCTGGGTTCTGTTTCCTCCCCGCCAATGTCTTTGTCACCCGATACTATATCAATGCCACTCGAATCAAGCAACACTTGAGAAACAGCACTACCGTAGAGCAAATAAATGCCTTCACCTGCGCTTGGGTGTGGGGGAGGTCTAAGGACATGCATCCCTCACAATATCTTGTGGGTAACTGATCATGAGGTAGAGTCTTGAGACAAATACACTCAAGTTGAGTTGCCAATTACACAGATATCCCATACAAAGTATTTCCTCCCGCCTGGACATTCAAAATAATGTATGCTGTGAAAATTAAGAACATTCAGGAACATCACCCGGGGTCGCCAAGGTGAAAGTTCAGGAATGTCCCCCAGGGTTTAAGGGTTAAACTGGTTTTTGAGGCAGGTAAGTAACATTACAAATGTTAATATAATTACAGTACTCCAAATACATTTTATAAGAAAAGTTTTATGGCTACCATAAATTAGATAAAATATTAGATAAAATTAGTTTGTTCAAACAACCACTGAGAGTTATGTTGAAATTTATGTCTGTCAGAGTTCAAGTACATTAAGAGGCTCTGAGACAAGTGTATGTAGTATGCAAGTGACTTCTTTTTTTTTTTTTTCCCTTAATTTTTTTTGTGATTCAATTCTGAGAGCTCTTTAATTAAAACTCTTGAAGAAATTTTGGCCTCGATTAGAAAAATATCTGAAATTCACACTCTTAGAAGAGGGCTCTTAAATTTTTTTTCTTCACAAAATCCATACTCATGAATGGGAGATTGAATCATGAATTCCCATTTCATGATCAAGAACAGAGTGAATGGTTTGGTTCCATTCCCTCCGCCCAGGCAGCTAGAAGTGGGAAGAGTCGCCTGAAGGCTCTATTGTCTGATATTGGTGAGAAGTGAATGTTGGCAAGTACACGTAGCAGTTAGCCCAAGATAAAGTAACTCTTCTACCTCAAATGGTATGTAATGGCCATATCATAGGCACATCCTTTTCTTTGACAGATTTTGAGACCCATTATGATTGGAAGAGGAACATTTTGACAGAACTTTACTGCTGCATCCAGGGTTGACATAGGCTCTATCACCAGGGATTAGCAGGTTCTCTAAATCACAAGTTATTCATGCCATCCTCAATCATAAAAGGGTGTCTTGGGTTTTAATCCCAATTAAATCGTCACCTTCTGTTTAAGATGTATATTACACTACAGAAGAGTGACACTGTGTGGTTCTTATGCTCTGACATCAGTTAGCACGTTGTTGAACTTATGGTTAAAGAGTGGAATATTGTTTCTGAAGCACAAGTAGGGTCTAGAATTAATGTAAGAGAAATTTCTATTTGCAGGTAATTTATATAACTGTTGAGGCTCAAAGTGATTAAATAATTTATATGTCTGTGCATTTTTAAGACGAGTTTTACCAACTGGCAATTATAGTGATAAGAAATCTTGTGAAATGTCATTGTGAATTGCTGTAATGACTTCATTCATATACAACTCAATTTATATTAGATGTAATTGCTGCACCTGCATCTTTTAACAAAAACACTGCTAGCTATCCAATGTACTGTGCAGTAATGTTGTATCTTAGTTATATACTCTTGTATTCCAAGTTCAAGGATAAGTTACTAAGAATCTAGTACTATATAACTATAAAACAGAAAACCTTTGGTAATTTAAGAATGTGTCAAGCATTGAGAGACTGATGGTGTATGTAAAAAGTGATTTTGTTGGTTTAAATTTTCTGAAAACATTTACTGCTGTTCCTCC